TGCTATGATATAATAATATAATAAATAATACAATAATAGAATATTTTCTATACTATACTACGCTAGTATTACTTTGTATTACAACTTACTTTGTAACAGCATTAATAGTTCTCTAAATGGTTAAGTATTGAATAACGATTCTTATAACGCATAAAGCTTATTAGGATATATTTCCATATTTGCACCAACAAGATAAACTGCTAAGAATATAATACTGATCGTATTAAAATAAGTACTGCCAAGGGAAACCCTGTAATTCTTATTATATAAGGAATTGCAGGTTCTCTCTTGGCAGCACTTAAATAATAACCATCTAAAAAATAATAATTAATGTGGATTCTATATTTAAAAAATCGATATTTTAATTAAAATATCAAATTCTCTTTATTTGGATAAACTCACTGAATTCTTTTTGTTTGATAAATCCATCAAATTCCTTTTGTCTAGATAAATTTGTCGAATTCCTTTTGTCTAGATAAATTCATCAAATTCCCTTTGTCTAGTTAAACTTGTTAAATCTTTTATGCTTTACCTTAATAGTATCCTTAACAAAGAAAAAAAAATTTTTAAATAATTAATATGTATAATTGCTTTGAACAAAGTTTCTATATAAATAGTACCAACTTTTCCTTGATGTAAATATTTTTATCTTGTCAAATGCCACCTAGATGCTCTAGTAAAAACAATTCTAAAAAACAAAAAGCCAAATATGACTCTAATAAAAAAGCTAGTAAACTTGCTAAATACAATAAACAAAATGATTATTTTTTTGATGAAACAATTCATGTTTCTCTTCCTGTCAAAGTAGATGAAACTGGTAGATTTTCTGTATTTATGGAAATAACTCCCATTCTGAGTAAAATAAATAGAAGAGAATGAAATAAATATGTTAAATAGTGTTTAAAAAATATCAAGGGCACTTTCAACCCAACCTACTATATAAACGAACCTGATAAAAAAATCTGCTCCTTATATAGCACTCTCGATCGTAATAAAATAAGACCGACTAAGGTTTTATCTAGTCATTTAGTTGCTTTAAATCAATCTAAAAAGCATGAAATATATGTTAATACAGAGTATAATTATTCAGTAGAAACAACACAATGGCACTTTACTCGATCTATACCACTATCCAGGGCTCTTATGTGGTTCTTCGGAACCACATCAGGCTTTGGTAAAAATGCTAAAATAGAAAAAGTTATGTTTGATTGTGTTATTGAGTATAAGGAAATATTTCTTGGTGCAAGCACACCACTAGATAATGAAACAGATAATGAATATAAGTATTTTGGAAATGGAGAGGTGGTGTTTGACAATTATGAACAAGACCTAACACCTGATATAGTAATAATAAATTAGAATGGGGAGGTGGTAGTTGAAAAAAATAATGGTTTAACATAGCTAAAATAAATTTATATAAATTCAGCAATTTTCCCAATGTATAGATATACCGATATGTAATTACCATCCTTCTACAAAATAGTTTAATAAATTAAATTATCATTTGGCAATATTTCTTTAAAATAAATAATATCTTTGAAAATTACCCAAATTTTTATGTAGTATAATCGTCTAATAAAATCTTTATTAGCAGCTCAAAACTTGAAGTTGCAAAGATTGCATCGCTATTGTTATCTACTTGTACTACTTGTACAACTTAATCTATCATATGACTAAATTTGGTACCCATGAAGAAAATTTGATACCCATGAAAAAAAGGTATTTTTCTAGTAAAACAAAAATTCCAGCGTTATTACTATGTGAAGACACCTTTCATTAAATATTTTTTGCTTATAGGGTTAAGCAATGTTAAATATTACGCGAGAAATTAAAAGATATTTCTTATAGTCTTTACTATTAAAAATCGATTGAAAAATTTTTTACTATAAAAAATCTTGATTAGTGATCATCACTATATCATATGCACTATTAGACCGATGTTGTATAGTATTGTTAATTATATATAGTTCCTTCGAAAATTTTGATGTTAATATAGAATTTTAATAATAGTTTTAAAATATCCAGTTAAATTTCTAATCATCTTACAAGATAAAGTTTCGTTACGCAATAATTAGGAAATCTAACCTTTTTATCCTTTTGTTGGTTAAAGTTTAACTTAGTGTTACCATCTATCACATGATAGTGAAATGTTAATTTTTTATACACCCTAATAATTCATGTACAATGTTCTCAATTTGGTGATCATTGATATACTGAAGTTGACTTGGAGTCGACTTTAACCAACTCGACTCTAACCGACTTGTAAACTGACTAAACCGAGTCGATTAACATCCCTAATTGTATCGACCAGTCAAAACATCACTACGGGATTAGTCAACCAACAAATTGCGAAATTTACAAAAAGACGAAACCATGGGATTCAAGGGGATTCAAAAAATATGTTGTAAAGCAAAGTGAGAGCTTCATGTTTGTTTAATCATTTTCAATATTCATAGAAAAGATAAGTCAAACGAGCCTTCCAAAAAAGATTGTAAAATAATATAAAAAAAATTTTTATCAATCGTGTAACGATTTTGTGACGTTTCCTCCTGTTAACTAAATGAAGACTTAATTCATATACAAACGAATAAATATAAACTACATGCAAGAATAAGAACTCAGACTAATTATTTATCTGTAATCTAAACTTACTAACGTGATCAAGACTTGAATGGTTAAAATATAATTAGTAGTGATATTATGCATTGATGTAATAAATGTAAAAAAATTGGAAATTTTGACTTTTAGAAATCATTGAAATCGGTCATTGTTTGCAGTACAACAATAGTGCATGCCAGAGAATTACTATTACTTTCATATAATGCTGGAATGTTGCAATAATTAAAAATCATATAAATTCGAAGAGAAAAATACAATTAACTCGTGATCTTCTAACCCGATTTCCCAATAATTCTAGACCTATTGGAACCGAAATAACTTGCTTTGCAATGTTTCTAATGGACATTGACTTAGCACAAAAAAAAACTTCATATAGTAAGTTAACTGCATTCCAGCATTATAAAAAAAAAAAAACTATATTAACTTCTGACAATTTTTATAATGAAATTTATACTCATTAGCCACGATTTACCTTAAATTTTTATTAAAGAATAATGAATGATTTTACTAAATAATTATTTATTTACGTAATTTGGTTTGTTTATTTACTTTGCACTTTTTCAGTTAAAACAAGAAGTGATTATGACAAACGCCGCCTAGAAATATTAACTACTCATATATTGGTATTCTTATATGTCAGGCTTCATGCTAATATCATATTTACAGAACGTTACTTACATAGCTTGTAAATGACTAATAAAGTGCAATTTTTAACTAAATTAGGATAAATTTATCCACGAGACGGTAGTTTTAACTTTCTGCAAACATCATTACATCTATGATTATCTAAAAAGCATCTATTAATTCCATTTCTACCTAAATTAGTCTTTCCAAATCTTACGGGATCAATACAATGTATCGCAGGATCAGTTAATAAAAACTGATCAGGTGATTCAATTCCTTGAAGATCAGAAACAACTAAATATCCGTCTGTATGTACATAAGTAAAATGTACAAATGCCTCAAGAACAGGTCTATATTCTACAATAACACCAGAATTTACATTAAAACGTTTAAACTCAGCATCTTGAAGTTCCGGTTCTGTAATATAATAACGAGTCCTACCATCAAATGTAGCACGTACTAAATTCACTCTAAGGAAATTTACAAAAGGAACGCCTTTTCCTCTTGCTTTCGAATTAAACTTTATAGTAAGGTAACTTGTTAAGGCAGAGATTTCCACGGACTCAAGGTACTTTTCAAATAAATTTTCAGTTCCATCTCTCATATATTCTTTCATCACCATTCGTCTAGGTGGATCATATTTAGTACTAATAGCATAATAAGCATATTTTTCAACACCAGCAGCAAATGGTTGTTCAGCGATTTTGAAATGATAAGATTTAGAGATGAGATTCTTTTTATCATAAAATCTTTCATTTTTAAGTTCGGAAACATTTTCAGGAATATAATAACATAAAGTTACACCTTTTCGATCAGGAAGAGTATCCCAATTTGGCATAGTTTTGTTAATTTCAATTCTTCTTTGTGATAAATTTCTTCTAGTTCCAATAGTACTAGTTAATGAAACCGACATAGTAATAGATGATGTAGTAGCAGCTACAAATTTATTAATTAATTCAATTTGATCACCACCTACAAGTTCAAATATTGAAAATTCACCAATTATACTACGAAATACTTCAACCATAGTATCAGTATAATTTGTAATTTTTCCAAAAAAGTAAAAAATATTTTCAGATTGCATTCGTTGTAATACAGTCTCTGCTGTTAACCCATTTGGATCACCACCTGGATATTCATCTTGCATAGTAGTAAAACGTTCTCCATGAGGTGGATAATCACCAATATGAAAAAGGACTCTAGTACCATTATTCCAAGACATTTGATTTATAGCAGCATCAAGACCTCCAAGGACATCTTCAGGATCATCACCACCACCATTAGCTGGTACAGAAGATAGATTTGTTCTGAATTCTTCATAAAAATTTGTAAAATCAAAAATTTGAAGGCGCGAAGGACCATCACAATGATCTCGATAGCCACAAAAACCAACTTTAATTTTAATGCATGGGTTCGTATTTTTAATATATTCTGTCACTTGCAAAATACAATCTTTGGCTGCAGCGATATGTCCTGCCATAGAACCTAAATAAGTTAGATGGTAGCAAAAGTTAAATAATGATTTAAATAAAGTACAATAAAAAATTAAAGAAAAAATGTGAAAGATACATACCAGTACAGTCTAAAACGTAACAAAGATCAACTTCCATTGAACGTTCAATGTTGGCAAGTGTCTTGAGAATAGCTCTCTCCCTTTTTCTTATAACTTCCCTCTTTCTAAGTCTAGCATCATCAGTGGTGACAGAGGGTACGATTGTGGATGAGCCGGTAGATACATGTGTATTGTTGTTGTTAAGAACTGTATCACTAGGTGCGGTTGCAGTTGCATGATTAGTAACTGTACCGGTAGATAAAGATGTATTGGTAACTGTCATATCGTTTCTGGTTGCAGTTTCTGAAGGTACTTCGTCTCCATATCGGTTAAAACGCTGGTCTTCAATATTTAGTTCATCAAATTCCCTTACAAAAGACGCGGGCAATGAGGAAGCATTAGATCTCGTCTCTGATTCAAAATCATTTCTAAATCTATTAATATCGTTTTCAGAAAGTTCGGAACTAATTTCAACTGTTTCTCTATAT